CACCCTCACTAGGTACCCCATCCCCACACCCTCACTAGGTACCCATCCCCACACCCTCACTAGGTACCCATCCTCGCACCCTCACTAGGTACCCCTCCCCACACCCTCATTAGGTACCCATCCTCGCATCCACACTAGGTACCCCATCGTATAGTATAGCGGTATACTAGTACAGTTTTTATTTTGTCACAAATAGAGATGATTTTAATGAAATCGATTTTGCCGCAAATTCAAATTCTCCATCATATGTGAATAATGGGTGGAAATCTACGTTTCATGATGAGTATCACGACATCTAACTTCTGCGCGCATTTTTCTTATTATATGGCTTTTCCATTTTAACTTTTCTGTGTGTATCTGGTTTTGTTCAATATTTTAACCCTTAACCATAGGCTGAAAGTTTTACTAGAAGATATCCACCCTGGGATCCATCTTCTATCCCAATTCAATCAAAATCAGACGATCAGACAGAAAGAAAAAATGTTTTGCATTGGATACCTTTACACGGAGGAAGAAACTGGTGTGTACTCACTTACTCGTGTATGAGATGCAACATTTGTGTGTGTCACTATTTGCTCACATCTCGTCATACTCTTTCTCTCAGTCGTAAGTTGCCAAGAAAGAAAGAAAAAAAATGTATTTTCATTTTCGATCGTGGTTTGTTACGACAGAACGCAATGAAAGATTTCACAAGGTTATGCACAAAGCGCATGTCATTTAGAATATGAGTGTCGGCGGGCGAGAAGACTACGACATTCACAACTATTAGTAATATGTGTACTTCGACAGCGAGAATTTAGAAATTCTAAATAACGCAAAAATCATATCTAAAACGAAAAAGAAACGATTATAACGCACCTTGATGTCGAACATTTTGACAAAATCAAGAAAAATTGATCGATACAAACTTCGAAATACGTCTAAAAATGAATTAAAAATGCATAGAGAACTTAACTGTAACATTCTCAGTTGAGTCTATTGCGTGTCATTATCTTATTTCACTTTATAACTAGACCGATTATATTTATTTGATGTTGTAGCTCTGACTTGATGTAACTTGTTACACGAAACTTCAATCTCCTTCGTTTCATAATAGCATATCGTTCACGAAGCGACCTTTGCTGATTTTACAACACCATTACACTCTTCATCCATCATGCCGTTACACTTCACCTAGCGCTGTTTCTCCTCTTTCTCTTGCTTTTTTTTGAATATGCATTACGTGTGATTTTGAAACTTGACAAGAAATAATTAATGGCAGCTGCATCTCTAACCACACTCATTTCTCAGAAGAATTATTCCATAAAATGACCCAAACTCATGTATCTCAATAGGCATACACTAGTACTTGATGATCGGTGTAAAAATTGTCTTCTCTTCGTCCACGCCCTCGGGATACTAGTTATATGCATGTACTTTATAAATGAATTTAAAAAATCAGCGATTCTTAAAAAACAAATAGCATATGTTTGAGGTCGGTGAAAAATCCCAAAACAGATTTTCATAGAATTTCAGAAAACATTTCTATACTGGATAATCTTATTTACAACAATTTCATCAATGAATCACGTGTCCAAAACTTTAATGTAATAATATAAATTTAACTTTGATCAATGTTAAACTTTTGTACTCGTTGATTTCCATTTTCGCTGACGTAAAGATTTCCTTCCCGGTCAAATGACAAACCGACGGGAGAAGATAGTTGATTCGATCGATTTCCATGACCGTTTCCACCAGCGATGACACTTCCTTGCGTGGCTCCTTGATGCCAGCACATTATTCGGTCATTTGAACAGTCAACCACATAGATACTATCTGACTGATCCACGAAAATTCCATAAGGATTTGATAATTGTGCAAGACTATTTCCTTCACCTTGACCACCAGCCACGACCAGGCCTTGTTTTGCACCTTTCATCCACTTCATCACACGATGGTTATTGTGATCAGCTACGTACACTGAATGGTCTCGATCGACAAATGCATAAGTCGGAGAATTCAACTGATCGAGACGATTCCCTTGTCCATTTCCTCCTGCAACTACGATTCCTTCATCTTCTCCCATACAATATTGCTTAACTTCATGTTTCATAAGATCAACAATATAAAGAGAACCATTATCATCTATTGTCAAGCCACAACATCCAACATTTGAAATGATTGTTTCTCCGTTTTCACCATTTCGACGAGGCCATCGAACTATCCTTTTATTTATAGTATCACAAATGATGAGATTATCTCTGCCTTTATCAATAATCACATCTTTTGGCGAGATCAATTGGTCAGGACCACATCCGACTTCGTTTCCACCAGCCATAATTCGACCAGTCTTCGATCCACACTTGTATTGTACAATACGATTATTTCCGCAGTCAGCAATGTAGACAGTTTGATCATCATCAACATATAAACCCCATGGCTGTGAGAGTTGATTCATTGCATCACCACGACCATTTCCACCAGCAACAATGAAACCATTTTTTTTCCATCTTGTATTCGTATTAAGAGTCAGACTGCGTAGAAATGGTGCTTTAAAAAATGATAAATGAATTTATTTATCGACTGTGAATCGATATTTGAAGACAAGAAATTTTATAGACTTGCCACATCCAACAATACCGTAAAATGATGTGAGTTTATATCTTTCTTTTCAAACACCCACACTCCACCCTGCGACCTATATTTCAGCATGAATCAATAAATATTGATTAGTATTCTGGCTTCGCAGCAGTCCTATATATCCTGTATTTCCTATATTTTAAAAATTTATCCTATAATAGACTATATTTTGAGCGTTTTTCCTATATTCCTATTTTTTTTGAAAAAATTGAAGATTCTTCTAAAAAGGGTGTGGGAGTGGGTGTGGGAGTATTTTGTTCAGAAACCCACCCACACCCTAAAGTGCATGTATGTCCAATAGTGAAAAGAAATCGAACGTAAATTAGTTTTTTTATGTTTTAAGAAAATCTTGCTGCTCCATTACTTTTCAAAACTCAATAATATTTTTATTTAGCTGATTAGATATACGTGCAAAAACAACACATTATCATCTTCAATGCTGTTGCAGTGATTTTTCGGTGTCTCAATCTTTTTCTGGAATAAATTTGTCATCCTATATTTTTCCTATATAGTTGAGGGCATCCTAAATATTTTAGACCTATCCTATATAGGAATTCCTATATTTTTTGAGAGAGCCGCTGCGATGCCCGTTAGTATTACAATGGCACTCAGTGATCTACTTGATATTCGTTTTTTTTCTTCGCTTCCTTGTTCGAGAGTCGATATCGAAAGTTGCTCAACTGTTCTTTATTATTTCTTCGTAAATAATGACAATTAACTTGTCTAGAAGTTGCTTTCCTTACGTATGATTTTATTTTGAGAAACAACTTACTATTCTTTGTAAGACGAATTCGCTTTATGAAAATTCTTGATTTATATTGAATTTTGAAGAAGGGTGGTTTATGGAGAGTATTTTTTAGTAGGTTCAGTTCTTCATTGAAAAATTGAATATTTGAATCGATAATATTTCCTTCTGTACGACATTGAATGAATTGTTCGGTTAAATGTCTGAATTTAGCATTCAAATCGTCGACAAAACTGATCAAACAGGATGAGAGTTCTTGACGAATGTCATTGGCCATTTTTTGTATTTTTTCAATTGATTCTCGTTCCCAATTATCGATTTCTTTCATTAGTTCATGTGCTTCTGGCTTAACGAGCTGCTCTTCGATTTGAAGTTTGAACTGACTAAATTCATCGTCAGTTTTATTCAATTGTTCACGTAAATCATCAACATGTTCAATCATATGTTTGGGACAAAAACCTTTAGAACATTCATCACATATCAGTGTACCCTTTGTTTTTCTACATTGACAGCAAACTGCTCTGTGCGTTGTTTTCATCGCCATTGAAACAACTTTGATAACATCAACGGATGAGTTCGTTTTTTCTTTTATCAACATAGAAAAAAAAACATTCTTGCACCATTCAGGTATAATGGTGTGTGTTCGAATTTCATAATGGATTAATTTCAACCAATGACACTCAACGTTTCAAAATAAAGAAGATTCATGTTTTATCGTAAACTGTTGAAACCCTTTTTGAAATCAGCATAGTAATGAAGCTAAAACTACTCCATACGTAAGTTGACGTTCATATCTTAGTAACCTTGAACTTGAAAGTTAAATTCCGTTCAAGTTTCAAAATTTGACGAGGCTGAGGTGTTGGTGCAAGAAACGAAAACACACACCTACACCCTCTGTATAGAATTTCAATGCCCGTTGGTTTCGGACGCTATAACATATACACAGTCTATCTATCCATTAAATGAAAACTACCGAAATCTAATAAAAATACACATCGAATGGAATATAAATATATATTGTTCAGTGTATCCTTTTTTAGTTTCGAAAATTCTCTTCAGAGTATAAAACTATTCACTATTGAGACTGTTATCAGTAATAAATGTATACCAATATATCATTACCTCTTGTGTCACGATGCAAGCTATGCAGCGTCAGCACAGTGTGTTTTTACTTGCTTACTATCGTTTAAAAAGTATTAAAACGAAAACGCTCATGTAATTAGATTTTTCCTTGTAGAATATTTAACTGATGCTTCATTTCATGTTAATAAAACTATTCAAAACAAATAAAAAGCATGGAAATACTCTTGAAAATATTGGGTCAAAAACTAAAGTCTATGAAGTGTCTCCCACCGATACGATTTCTGAACTTAAACATCGAATTCGAGAAAATGAAAAGATTCCTTTGAAGCTGATGAGATTGACTGTTGGCGGCAACACCCGCTTAAAAGATTATGAAACATTATTTGAGAACAAAATAAGCAAAGAAATGACTATTACTGTTGGGTTTCGATTTCGTAGAGGATATTTTTGTATGAGATGTATTTTTCCAGCAGCGTTATGTTTATCTGGTCATGTTTCGTTGCAATGTAGTGAAGAATTTTCCCTTGATGGCAACAAACTTTTTCATAGCATTAAAACTAAACTAATTAGTCTCAATCATGTAGGAAGCCAAGCTGAACAATTAGTGTATAAGATGTTGTCGCTCATAAGAAAAACCCTCAACTGTCGAATCACATTATGAAAAGAAAAAAAAAAGAGTTTTTGCTTTGCTGAAAAAGAAAATAATTTTAAACAGCTCTACTTCAATGCGTTGATTCTTGTGGATGGGTGTAGGTGTGAATATATGTGGGTACAAGGCGCATCACACTCACACGCCCACACCCAGCTATGCAGCGTCAGCACAGTGTGTTTTTACTTGCTTAGATTATTTGTTATATTCATTATTTTTATAGGTTGCTGCAATCAGATGTTGATCATTTGCTTCATCAACTACGTATTCACGATTTGATTTATTAGTATCTTCAATGGGTGAAGAACTTTCGGCTCGACGAGTACTATCAATGTTGATTGCACTGTTAGAAATTTTTAAGTGGAAATCATTATTATCTTCCATGTTCATATGTACGATATTTTTTTCTGGAGATTTACTTGTATTATTTTTAACTACTTTTATTGATTCTTGAATATACGACCCTTTCTTTTGATTGTTTGCCAATAGAATATGTACGCTTTTTGTTCTATGTGGTTTGAGTAATAAGGTTTTTCTTCGATTATTTTTATTTGATTCTTTTAAAAAATACAGAGATATTTTCGTTGACGAAAGAATGGAAGTACCGGTTGTTGGTTGACTATGTAATGACTCAAGTGATATCGATTTAGAAATACGAGATATACGATCTTTATTAATCATTTAATTTATCAAAAAAAAAATTTTATTAATTTTTAAGAATCCAATACTTGTATAAAAATACGCAATAGAAAATTACAAAAATGCAGCACCAACAGCGGAACGAAAAAGATAAGCACAAACAAAATACAAAATTTTTCGCAATAATTAATAAGTGGACTAGTTAGTTGTCCAACTTCTCCACCAATTGTGAGGTTCTCTTTTAAGGATGTCTGTAATTAATCTTTATTTTATTTTTACGCTCAATTAGTGATGCGTCTTCTTTAGATTAATCGATTTTATGTCGAGAACTCACGTAAATAATTAGTTTACCTTGTTTAAGTATATGCATAATCAATGATTTACAATAAGATCAATTGATGAAACCAGTTGATTGAAGGAAAAAGTAGATTTATGTAAATAATGGTAACAATGATGAAAAGATAACAAATCCAACAAATAAATATAAGGATAGTTTCGTTTATATTCGAACGAGAAAACTAAACGACGCAATAACGAAAAAACATAGCTAAGCCGAAAAAAAAATCACATGATTATCCATATCAAATAGAAAAGAAGTAAAGGAAAACGTATTTGAATGATATGGATAAGTTAGCGTCATGAAGTGACGCTAACAGGAGGTAATTTATAATAGGGTGTGAGTGTGTAGGTTAGAATTTTTATATTCGCATTCACAAGCACACTCACAATTCTGTAATGTGTATTTGAATATAGGTGGAAAGTTAAAATATTTAAGTTTCCTGTACTACTACTTTATCCTTGCAATCGATTAATATGTATCTATGAATGCTAGCTTTTTCAGATGGTCCGGGCAATTCGAAATAATTAATTGGAATTAACATGAATAATATGCTTCTTGTATATGGGCAGTCTGAAGATGTAAATATGAAAAAAAGCAACAAATTTAACAGCTGTGATTGTTGAGTATATGCCTTTTATTAACGTAAATCCTTAAATTTTGTGCACTCTCATTGTTAGTAAGTAATTAATGATTCCTTGGATACTAAGCTTGAGTATGTATGAATAATGAAACGCCTGTGGAAAGACATGATCCTATTAAAATATAAGCTCACGTCTCATTCAAATCTATCATAGTGCTTTATCTGAAATTTCGAAAGCAAAAATGCTACGATCTATCGTGTATTTTATTATTGGTTGTTGTATATTGAATCGCATTTGTGGCTTTACTTGTCCAGTTGGAAATAATGGGCTTCATTCAAATATTAATGATCACCATTCGTTTTGGCAATGCTCCAATGGTATAGCATATTTATTTCACTGTCCAAATATGCTTGTATGGTCACAAGAAAAGCAAATTTGCGATTGGAAAGGTAAATTATTCTATAAAGCATTGTAGAGTAAAGGAAGATATGCCTATGATGATTATTAAAACGAAACAGAATATCTGAATTAAGATTTTTACTTTGGCACCAAATATTCGTATCAGAGTCGTAACTGTTCCCGCAATACCGTTTTGTTCTAAATTTCGAAGCATCGATTAGATCTATATAATCAATTGATTTTCAAATTGGTGATAGTTACATCGAGAACGGAAAGTATTATTTTCTAGAAATCAATATTAATACTTAACGAAAACAAAAGGAACAGTTTTCTTTTCTAAGATTGAACACATATTTTCTATTTTGAGTTTGCGTGTGTTACGCTTAAAAACACTATAGAGTTATGCTATAGCACCGCCGCCGACTGTTGAGAATAATGATGATGGAATTTGTTCGAATGCAACTTGAAATCCAATTGGTATTACTAAAGCTGGTAGCAACAAACGGGGCACTGGATTGAATGAACTCGATTTTCCATCGAGTTTCGTTTTTGGTGCTGATTCAAGCATGTATATTGCCGACACGTTTAATCATCGCATAGTCAAATGGTTGCTCAACGGGTCAAATAGCCAATCGATTATTGCTGGAGGGAAAGGCATAGGCAATCAAACAGATCAATTACGTTATGTTCATCGTGTTATCCTTGATGAAGAAAATACTATGTACATTTGTGAGAGTGGGACTTCACGTGTACTAAGATGGTTCAAGAATGAAAATTATGGTCATCCAATTCTTGAAAATTTTCGATGTTGGGGTATGCTATTGGATAATGATGGATCATTATATGTAGTAAATTCAAGTGACAAGTCTCTTGTTTTAAAATGGCCTGAAGGTAAAATAGTTGCAGGCGGAAATGGAAGAGGAAATGCTTTTAATCAACTCAGATATCCTGACAACATACTTATCGATCGAGAAAATTCCATCTACATAGCCGATGTCGATAATCATCGTATAGTTAAATGGGTTGCTGGTGCTAAAGAAGGTATTGTTATTGCTGGCGGCAATGGAGTAGGAAAAGGTCTCCATCAACTACAACAGCCAATGGGAGTAGCACTCGATTCTATGGGAAATTTGTACGTTGCTGATCATGGTAATCATCGAATCGTTCGTTGGCTCAAATGTAGTAAATCAGGTGATGTTCTTATTGGTAAAAGTGGCCCTGGTGATGCGCCCGATCAATTACGTATGCCGACTGATTTGAAATTCGATAGAAATGGACATCTATGGGTATCTGATTATTCCAACCATCGTATACAAATGTTTACAATCGATAAAAGTGCATGTAGTTCAACAACATATTAATGTTTGCTTTCAATTCTTACTAAAGTTTATTATTGGTTAAAAAAGATTTAACATGATTAATCTTAAAATACTTTTGGGAAAATATGAAAACAACTTTATTTTATAGATTCGGCACTATTTGAATGAATATAAATGCTTTGGAGCAGATAACACGTGTGGATGAGACCAAATCAAAAGAATCGATGGGGTGTGGTTATGAGTGTGCGCATTTGTGTGGGTGGGTTTTGATCGGGCGTGTATATGCGTATGAATTAGAAAAAAAATAACAGCGTATAGACACACACTCGATTATTCTTTATATCTATATAAGAAAAATGGATTTCAAGAGACAAACTGCACATCTCATCTTTTTCAAAGAAAGTAAAGAAATATTGAAATTTATTACAAGAATGATGAAACTTTTCATGCTAAATAATGAAAGTGTGGGATATTGAATCGCTGGTTTTGTTTTAATACAGACGAATTTAGTTATAATAAATTAATAAATCATGTGAGATTCGTCCACGGTTGAACGTTCTACTATCATTGATGAATCAGTGGCACAGTTAACTGACGAAATTAGGATTATTTTTCAGGTATAGACATAAATGAAAGCAGCAAGTAAAACTATGCACAGTCGCCGCAATCAACAAAAATGATTTATTTATGAGTAATTCTGATTATATAATTTTTTGCTTCCTATCAGTAGCTACAACAAATATTTCAAGTAGTTTTTCATATTCAGGTTACTGATCTTTTAAAGGACATGAAAGCTTTTCTGAATTATAATGTCGATAAATAGTCAGTCATATACATGCTGGATTCGTGATAGTTGCTATAGAAAGTAAATTTGAGGCGTTTGAAATCAAAGAAAAACATAATTATTCACCCTTTGTTACAATACGTCCACAGCCTCGATGGTGGGTGTGGGTGTTGAGTATAGGTATAGTATAGGAGCCTCGGTGGGGAGAAACTGAGGCTAACACCCACACCCTTGATTGTATTTGTCATTAAGACATCGATACATACGTATATGACATGCATTCCTGGATTTTCATCTCGTATAACAGCAATGACACAAATTTCTTCAGAACAAGTAAGACGTTGTACTTTGATGTAGGATTGTTTTGAACAAATTGAAGACAAAAATGATTTTTTTTCATGCGAAAAGTAGCTAATTTAATATAAATGAATGAATCGAGCTCATATTTAAAGTGTCTAAAGAGTATGTCTAAGATACGCTTGAGAAGTTACAAGTAACAAGTGATATGCCAGTTGTATTATTGATAGATAGACGTCTATAGAACAATGAACTAGAATCAATATGCATGTGACATACTTATGATACTAACTTTATCATACAAAAAAGAACTGCAAGCCTAATTTGGTGCACTATAGACACCTGAGGAAAAGCCACCGGTTTTCAGAAATTAGCCTAGCCTGCTTTTAATTGAATGAGATTCAGCATGATCAGAACGAAGTTTGATCGATTCTAATTAGAAATGGTTCTGTATGTTTAAAATGAAAATGTTTTAGATGTCTCGATTCGCATCATTAGGTACGATTCGTTTTGGTGAACAGAATTGTAAATGCTTCACCTAACTGTGAGTTTAAGATATTAGTCTTCGCATCCGTTTCTGGCAGCTTGATCAGGACAAACATAAAGAACCGACTTGTGAACAGCTCTAATGTGGCGTTCTATTTGACGAGCACTAGTAATAAGGGAGTTTAAGATGATATAGAAAATTTGTTTATCTACGATTTGCGATAATTGACTTATCAGTTATGCGGGAATGATTATGCCAAAAGTCGTAATAGATTACTAGTTTATTTTAGAATTATCTAATGCTATGTTCAATGAGTTTAGGTATATTATTATTTGTATCACAACTGACTTATAATTTGATCTAATAGAGGTTAAGTATTTTATTAGTGCTATTCAGTCAAATAAATTTTCTTGATCTTTTCGATGAGTATCTAGGGTTTTTCAAAAACAACAATAATAGGAAAATATTTGATAAAACGAATTATCCTGGAAGTGATATTTTGTCTATTCTAGAATGCCTATGCCATTGTGTTCCGTAAGTGACAAGCATATCGTTTGTCACGAGTGTTCTAAAGCTCTTCCACTTTGTCCACTATGTGATGGCAAACTTATCAGTGATATTTATGTTGCACAATCACTTGCTGATGAAATTAAACAAGCACGAAAAAAAACTAGAAGATTACTGTTTTCCATCTGATCTTGCGACAAAGATCACAATTGAATCGAATCAAGAACCGATCGCACACGGTGCCATGGGTAGAATATTTCGTGTCAAAAATATTTATACGGTAAAATGCGGTCTGATTGCAAATACAACCGAAATGAAAGATGCGCTAATGCATGAAATAGCTGTATCTCGTCCTTTAGTGCATATGCCTAATTTAGTACCAGTTTACGGTGGTGTTCGTTTACCATAATATGGTATTGGTATTGTCATGGAATATATTGATGGACCATCACTTGCTATTGCTCTCGCTGATAACTCAGCAATTATTCGTAGTTTATCTATTCGAGAACGTTTAGAAATTGCATTAGGTATTGCCAAAGGTCTCGGTGAACTTCATTTAGCTCAAGTTGTTCAGCGTGATTTTAAACCAGAAAATGTGCTTCTCTCTAAACAATCTGATGGTAATTACATACCAAAAATTGTCGATTTTGGAGTTAGTTTTCAATTTGCTATCGCTTCGACGACGTCAGTCAAAGGACCAGGTGGTACTGCTGGTTATGATGCACCAGAAGTCGTCATCGATGGTGCAACACCCTCTGTAGCTTCAGATATTTATTCTTTAGCATTTACTCTCTATGAACAACTGACTGCGAAACGTATTTTTACTGGAATGAAGCCAGCACAAATTCTGGCGAAGTTTACTATGCGTAATGAACGTCCAAATAATTGGCCTAACGATATACCTGCTTTTCTGGCAGATGCTATTCAACGAGTTTGGCCGATTGAACCTGCTCAGAGAACATCCATTGGTGAAATCATTCATTGTATTCGAATAAGTCTTGATCAAAATCAACTATCATGCATCGACATGCTACGAGAGACTAATAAACTACGTGAAAAGATAGCTTCGGTTCAGCTCGAAGATTTCAAACCATTTGATTTATTTATGCTAGATGAATTTGCTAAACGTATGACGATTGATGATTGTGAAATTACGCAAATGTTCATTGATGAACTACCTAGAAGTTTATCAAATAAATAATCATTTTATTATTGAGACAGTTAGAAGAATTCAATTTCCTATTTGTCATATCATATTATATTACTCTAGAACGATCTCCTTATTTTAAAGTTTTATGTAAACGTTTTTTCTTCGTCATTCATACTACCTGACTGTTTAACAGCGATCAAATTCATTAATATCAGTTGATCGTGGCGTACTTACATTTTATTTTTGTGTGCTAAATTCTCCAGTTCACGGATTTTCTTAAAGTGTTCTTCACAAACAGTTCAACAACTTAGCATAGCCAATGATGATATGGTTCAATCTATTTTCGGCAAAGTGGGAAATCTTGGCTATAAGATATTTTCTCTATCTTCCATAATAGATTACCTCGCGTAAGTATCATCTTCATCTTCTATACGATTTACTATTTAAACTAGAGCCCTGCGATTCTAACCGTTACCCTAAATCATAACCAGAGTTTATTAATAGTATAAGAAATGTATGGAAATCACTATAATGCAATATGTTTGCATGAAAATAAGTAATAGTTAATAAGTTATACTAAAACTCATCGTTTTCCACGCCAATCAAAACGGTTATCCGTATTTTCGCTGTATACGACTATGCGCGGATCGCATGTTTCAACCTTGGATGCCTTGAAAACAGTAGGTATTCTTCACATAATTTAAAATTAAACTATTTTGTTGAAAGTAAAAAGATGAATGTTTAGGAAAAATAAATTCTGAAGAAATGAATATTATTGTACAGACGCATCAGTATTATCAGAAGACATCGAAAATCGACTAAATTCTATCAGTATTTAAAAAAAAAAGCATTTAATCGTTTTAATACAATAAACCAAGACATAACCCTTTAGAGAAAAAATGAACTGTTGGTATTGCGCACACTCTAACGGTGGGTTTTTCTATAGATATCGTATGATTATTTTGAAGAAAATCCATTTCTTTTACTATCCGACAATGATAAACTTCCAATCGGAACTTCGTTCTGCAAGAAAAGCTATACAAAATAAATGCTCAAGTAATTTATTTTGTACTTGAAAATTCTCGGTTTAGTTTTACACGAGATCGAGAATTAACAACGTCTCTTGCAACTGATGTTATTACTATTCGGGAAGCACTATATTTCACGCGTTGAAGTTGTTCAATTTTTGATTGCGATGTTCGTTTTGTTTCTTATTCTTTAGTCATTTCCTGGAAAATCTATAGGAAACAACAAACGAAAAGAATGATTCATCATCTTATGCTTTCAAATCATTTCGCGATATCCATCAAGACATCGCAAAACTTTGATGGCACAGGTTTGTACTGACTAAAATCGACTATCAATGCCGATGTTTATCGATATTCATTGTTGTTGAGTAGAATAATTCCGACTTCGAAAATCGGCATGTTCGGAAAATTATTAAGAACGAACAGAACCTTTTGTAAATATTTACACCACATAGAAGTTTAGAATTGAAAATCTATTTTTTTTGACTTTTCAATATATTTGATTTCAAGAACACACACTTGGTACACAACTAACATAATGATTTGTTGTGCAATTAAAGTTTTAGCGCAACATACCGACCTAAAGTGGTGTCGAATCGATATGTAGCGGATTCGATGCTGTGATTATACAATATGCTTTAATTGTAGCAACGTTCGAAAGATGGCGTCATATCTCTTCATCGTTATTGTAATACATAAAAACAATATTTTACGTTAGAGATACTAATTAAGCACGAATATGTTCTCATAAAATGAAGGAAAAATGGAAAAGTTTGATAACAAATAAATACAATAAATTCGACACATACAACCAATCAAATTGCTTGCTGCTTAACAAAACGTTTGTTGGTATTTCTTTTTCAACAATAGAGAAAAGTTTTCAAAGAGAATCGCACAAAATACGCATCATCATGCTAATGATTTAAAAGCAGATATTTTTAATCCAAGTCAACAAATACAAAGTTACTGTTTTGACATCACAGGCTTTGTCCATCATTTCATAAACACATATATTTACATTTTTAAGTATTTCTTAGAACTATATCTACATCGAAAAAGATGACTATAAATTTGAGTCAGCTGACCCAATTGTTAAAAGTTTCTTAAATATTGATGCAAAGCAATCGAATGGATGAAGAAAAAAACAGAATGGACTCTCGATTAAAAACTTTTTGTCAACATAGATTGTGTGAGAAAGCTATTCAACATGTGCAACTTCGAATCCATAGCTTCCATTTAACTCCTTCTCCATCTAATAATTTTACGACTGACCTTAGCCAATGACGATAGTAAACCTTATAACTCTGTATGATGCAGTTCATCGGCTCTTGAAAAAATTGGATATATAACGATTTTTTTTCTTTATTTATCTGACCATGAATGTTTTGTATTCTGGACTCGATTTCTAGGCCGTATTCAGTAAGAAACCTATTATCCTGACGTCATCATTTGAGGTTATGATTAGAATTATGGCCATGCATAATGTGAGTCACATCATCAAGGTATATGAATATTAATGAGTTACGTATCAAGCATATTGATCAACCTTGTATTGAAGGTGGCTCTTTGAATCTCTTTATATACAATATTTTGTTCGTTCTGTTATCTACTTGACTGCATATATATATATATATATATATAATATAAGTAAAAAGCGTTTGACAATGCAGTAAAATAGTCATCGTTCATAATTTTCTTCTGTTCGATAACCATATAGTCCACAGGAATTACATGGAACACATTCTCATCATGCTAGGTAAGGTTTGCATAAGGAATGTATAAAATAAAGATATTTATCTACTTCAAGTTTTGATCCTGATCGCAACAACGCAGATAATTTTGGCGAATCCCATTGACAACGACATTTTCTCTATAACTTCTGATTTGTCGTTCGAAACAATGAACGGTACAGCCACTATAAATTCTATTTTGTCGTCTCAATCATCCGACAATACTCGCGCTACAAATCCAATCTTCGAGTCCGCATCATACGATGATATGTCGACTGCAAATTCTATCCCTGTGTCTCAATTGCAAGATGCTATTTTCATTGCAAGTTCTACCTCCGAGTCTGAATCATCAGAAGATATTGACGCAGCAAGTTCTGCCATTGCGACACAATCAGTGAACAATAAAAACACCATTGGCGATACATATAACCAAGCTACAGATGTATCTGTACAGCCACTGGCGGGTAGAAACTTTCCTGTTTTCCCTTTGATGATTGTTGGTTGCGCGTTTATCGGGCTAGTTGGTGTTTTGGTAGGGATAACAATCGTTCGCAAAAAGAATGAATCGACGAAATCAGCTCCATCTACATAAATTAATCGTGAATTTTTTTAATATTTCTAAAGAGTCGTGTTTTATTTTAGTGGTGTTTGAATCTGAACTTGTTCGTTTTTATTTCAATTGTTGTAGTCTAAATAAAAGCATTTCTTCTTTATTAGTAGCTTAACTTCCTGAAACGAATGGGACAACTAGGGTGGGGCGTCAGTGTTAGTTTGGAATAAGAAAAAAAAACTCATACCCGTAAATCCAAAAGATATCTACATCGGTGAGAGAATCGTGCATTAAATTCGTAAATATGAATTCAATCATTAATAATTAGTTATCGATGCGACAATCTTAAAATTTAATGAAGCTCCGATTGATACAAATTAAGATATTTAACACATAAGAATTGATGAAATCAATAAATCAAAGGATGTTTGTTTTAAATTTGATGGTCTTTATTGTTCAGTTATACGTAATTACTAAAGAATGAACTTTTCTAGTGCGTGTTCGGCACCAAAGGCACCTTTCCTATTATCATTTGATCGAAGATCTCCATCTGTTGAAATATTATTTTCTATGCTCAATCATTTTCGTGCAAGCTGAATTCGAAAATATGAGTGGATGACGCGTTTCTGTGTATAATCAGCAATATTCTCACCGCGTGGTATTGTCAAAAAATACAGAAAAAGTCATATCTAAAGAAGTCTAAATATTGCCAATAAAGATCATCAAGTGTTTGGAAATTTGTTTTCTGAAAAGGTCTTGATGATAATATTAAAAATTGCATATCTTTGTCCAGGCAAACCCTAGACAGCTAATATTTCAAAATGTTTAGTTTCTCAGTGAAAATGAAAATGTTGACCTGAATAAGGGCAATCGGTGCGCTGATCAGTATATTATCTTACATTGAGAGTTGAAGAAGATGAGTGTGCAATTTTCTTTTTCACATCAGTGACCGATTTTATTTCTAGTCAGATTGTACTGAGACATTGAGCTGTTTAAAAGATTTTGTGAGCTAAGTTGATCATCTGTTTGCTCTGAGTTAAGTATTTTATATGGCTCATAGTAAAATTTTCCATATAAATATATCGGAAACAACTTTTCTCTTAGTTGTTAAACACAGAATCTTGTTAATTTCAGTGCAACTCATTCTAAAATAGCGACTAGAATTGTCTAAAACTCATTCAACTCCAATTTTGATCGAATTTCATGTTTTTTTAGATAGAGAAATATGGCGTTTAGCGCCCTCTAAAGAAGCATATGTGAGAGGATGGAGCGATTTTCAGTTGCATCATCGTTGTTGTGAAAGAACACGTCATCATTCCTATTTTCTTGCTGCTTGATTATTAATGAACAATGAATCTACCATTACAGCTATTTATTTGACTGAAATTGCGTGCTGTACTCAAAGAATGAAAAGTACCACATCCACTTTGACCATTTCTACATCTTGCCCTATGTTATCTGCATGCTGACCATAGATGCCTATTTGGATAGTAGCACCTATAGCCGTGCTTGTCACGAACATACTTCTACCAATATGGACCATTCTGGTAAGCAATATCTCGATGTTATGAGTCACGAAATGTCTCCTAATAATTTGAGCAACACTGTTGTGTATTATTTTGTGCAGAGATCGATTACAAATATAATAGATCAGAGATATTCTCATTTGAATCAGAATAATATTGAAAGATTATAAAGAAGTTTATATATGAAACTTCGCTCGAGAATCGAACCCACATGAAACGATTACTGTTTTTCTGAATGCTGTTAAATTATCGAAAATCAAAAGAAAGAACAAGAATCAGTCTTATACAAATTTCATATACTAGACTCATTTGAAAACAACACCCGACCAATTCAATTATTTGTGGTTTTGACAATTAATACGGTTTACCCGCCTGCACGACTTGTTCTTAAGACTACTGTATAGTTCGCAATAGAATGTTATTTCTTTCAGATAATTGTTTTCCTCATTCCATAATTCTATGTCTCATCAGCCTACCGTCAACGACAATGATATGAACGCTGAAAACAGTTCTCACACTCTGTATCAACTTCTAGTCGACTGGTATGGTACAACCCATCTTAATAGATCTCTCTCGTCAACGCAACTAACAAACCAGTGGACTACATTATGGTTCGCCAAGCATGAGCAGCAGAAGTTAGTAGATCAAAAACTAATGAAATACCATCCCGCTATCGAATATTTCATTGACTTTCAACCGACAACTCTAGAGGAAAAGATGGCAATGATTATACTCTACGATCAAATAACTCGGAATATATTTCGAGGAACAGAAAGTGCTTATATATACGATGATATAGCTCGACGAATTGTTTTAACCCTTGTGGAAACTATTAATCTTACTGGTCTACCAGTTCAATTTCTAATAACGATTCTTATTTGCTTAGTTCATTCCGAACAAATTGAACACCTAGAGATCGCTCAAAGTCTAATTCAACAATATTTAATGAGGCATCCATCAATTGATTCAAATCTTCTAGTGTCACTGCTTGGCATAACAAAAAATCATTGTGACAGAATACAATTGTTCGGACGGATTCCAGAAAGAAACCGCTTTATTGGTCGACAATCTACTGCGGCAGAGATCTCATTTATGACAGCTGTGAATACAGGAGACATATCTTAATCTATTAATTTTTTGTTCTCTATCGTGAAAAAATAGAATGTTGGTAACGTAAAGATCTGCACAGAGAGAGTAAGAAAGAAACTGTCTACATACAGAAAGTACCAAAACGAACGGTGTCGAAGCATCTTTTGTTTCTTTCACAATAGGCCTGTACCATGAAAAATGTAATTTGATACGAGTACAGATAGTCAGTCATATCATCAGTAAAATTCATTTCCTTTTTTGAGAAATTCAAAAGTTCGATTTTGCATCCGTATGTTATTACCGACTGACTGTTGTCATTCTTAGCATTTTTGATTTGATTTTGTTTTCATAAATTTAAAAACAAACAATAACAAATTTATTTATTAAGTTTCAATGATTTAATCGTGCTAGTTTAAGTCTTGTTTGGTGTTTATATATGATAGTCTTTTTGCCCATTGAATTCGATATTGAATTTTGTGGGTGTGAGTTGTAGTCTGGTTTTCGTCCGCACACCCACACCCTCAAGTCGATTGATTCCACTGCCTTTACCATTTCCTTCAGCTACAGTGAGACCAGTTGGATTCCATCGAGCACTTGGATGAATTTCAATTAAAGTTTTACGTAATGCGTAGCCTAGAATCAAATCAAATGGGAAAAAATGAATCAGACTCAAACATATAATAAGGATGTGGACGTCTACTTCAACTTACTTCCCATCCACACTCACAAGATAGAGTGAATGGATTTGTTTTGAACAACTAATCAGTCTGCACGAAATGAGTTAAATACCAATCTGGAACCAGTTTCGGCGGTGCAGGCTTAATGGTTACTACATTCTAGATTTGTCCCCATCATAGACACAGAAGACAAAAGAATTTTTTTTTCCGCTAAGAGATAACTTTTCAAGTTTGAGATAAGTTTTGATTTCTAGGAAATTTTATTTTTTAGCGTGTCTTTCAAATAAATGCGATGACTTTGTAGTGTAAACTAAGCTCTTTGTAAGGCATCTTTGCGGAGTCGAAATAGGTCGTTACAATTGCCTTAGCTAACATTTTTCATAAGTCAAAGAAACTGAGTAAATGTTCTGTACTCAACTATGACTTAACCATATCTTGCATTTGAAAGACAATAAATCCGAAAATAAAATTCCTCAGTTGCTCATGTAGACACCAAAGAGATCCATTCTGTTGAAGAATCTCTCTCAATAACCAGACATGAAGAATACAACGTATATCATACCTGTAACACTAAAATATAAGATTATTGAACAGTTATTAAATAAAAAAAACCAGATTGTATATTAGAAAAGATTAAAAATGGAATAGTAGAATGTAACTCCCATTATTTCTAGCTGTGAAATTGTATGGAGAACCCATAGCACACAATATTTTTTATATATGTGATACTCAGGCGGTGATATTAAAGCATTTTTTATTACAAAATTGGCTATAACATCACCCAATGCTTCAATCAATAGTAACTAGAGACTTTTCGTACTTCGTTTTATCTCTCGTCAGAGATAATAGATGAAATGAAGTAGGAGGCGATGTTTCAACAAAGTAACGATGAGGGTGTGAGTGTCGTACAAAGTGTTGGTATGACCTCAGGAGATTGCAACACCCACATACCCTAAAAGAATTATAATAGTTATTTAACTTTTACCTTACATCTTGGAATTCGAACAAAACATTGCATGTATTTCTTCTTTTTGCTCATACCCATCAGTATCGTTACCGTGATACTATACTCTGACCATCTATGAGCGTAGTTTTTCCTTTTAACAAGTAATGCCCCTTGTAGAAGTTCACAGACTGATACCATTGCGATATTGAAAAATGTAGTTATTATTCCATTTCCAAGCTTTTCCTTGGATAACAAATCTGATGTTGAATATTCATTGTACAAGGCATTAGCTTCTTCAAAATATTTGATCGACATAGAAAAATTCTTCTTTTTCGAATGCATTACAGATAAAACTGTTGAACAATCGAAAACGTGTTATAGTGGCACCTTCCGCAGTTCGTTCATGTTTTTGATTTGCTTGGATTATCATGTCATCTTCAAATTTATTATCAGCAATAATAATCTAAAATAAATAAATTATTGTTTCATATCAGAAATTCATTTTATCATCTCTAAGTTTCAACGAATGTTTTTTCTCTTTTTTGAGGGTTTCGCTGTGAGATTAAGGTCTGGGCTTGATTATTCCGCAAATACACACCAGCCTCCTCAAGATAGATATAGTTCAAATGCTAATATTCAATTACCTATAGTGGTGGAACCGTATAAAAGGAAACATTCTTCACAATGCGCTTCATAAATCATTGTCTTGCAGCAGATCGAATGTATATAGGGAATCCACTTTTTTGTCATGAAATCGAGTACCTGGAGGTTTTTCAGGGCCCCGGCTTCAAATCCGACGCCTGATTTTAGTAATATTCAATATTTCAAACTTTTTAAACTTACTTTAAAAATTTTTAATAACGCTTTATTTTTTTTAATTTTTGGAATTTATTAAATTACTTTAGATCTTACTCATTATGTTTTCTGGTTTCCGAAATTTCCTTTTGATTTTAGCAATTATTTTTACATTTATTTAGTAAATTTAAATCTTTTATTATTTTTATTTTCATACCTTTTTTTTTTATCTATTTTGAAGTCTTTGCTTTTGTTCTAAACTTTGATCAAAATTTTTTGTAAAGCTCAAAAACTTTTATTCAATCAATAAAAATAAAAATAACAATAGCAATAAAATGAAAGTCACAACTATAATGTCGTCTTGTGATGCAACTACGATGAAATAATCGCAGTTACGGTGTAACTGCGTCACAATTTTATCGCAATTGAACACATGGGTAAATTCTATTGCATTACGGCAACGTAGGCTTCGTTCTTCTAGGTACATTCTTTCATTAAAAATACGGGATATATATACAGGATTTTGTTCTGTTTTCCTTATTTATCTGGTCATGAATGGTTTTGTATTCTCGACGCGATTTCTAGGTCATATTCGTTAAGAAGCCCACTATCCTGGCGTCATTATTTGACGTTATGATGAAAATTATGATCATGCATATCATGAGTCACATCACAATGATACATGAATGTGAATGAGTTATCAAGCGTATCGAGCAACCTTTTATTGAAAGTGACTTTTTGAATTTCTGACCAGTATTTTATTCGTTCTGTTCTTATCTACTGAACTGTATATATGTATTAAGTAAAAAGCGTTGGAGAATGAAAAAAATAGTCACTGTTCATAATTTTCTTCTGTTCGATAACGATTGTTTAGTCCGCACCAATTACATGAAAGAAATTATCATGATGATAGGTAAGGTTTGCACGAGAAATGCATAGAAAGAAAATGTTTATCTACTTTAAGTTTTGATCCTGATCGCATTAACGCAGATAATTTTGGCACATCCCATTCACAACGACACTTTGTCTACAACTTCTACATTGGCCTTTGACTCAATGACCGATACAGTCACAGTAGATTTTATTTTGACATCTCCATCATCCAAAGATATGCTCCCTACAAATTCTACCTTTGCGTCACAATCAGTTAACGATACAAGCACCATTGGCTTCATGACCAATGCTAGAGATGTATTTTCAAAACCATCGTTGAGCAGACAGCTGTCTGTTCCTGTAGCTTTCGCAATGATTGGTGGTTCTGTGATAGGGCTAGGTAGTGGTCTGGCACTATTATGGATCCTTTACAAAAAGAATGTCGTGCCGAAATCAGTTGCATCTACATAAATTGATCGTGGAATTTCTTAATATTTGTAAAGAATCATGTTCTATCATATATTAGACAAGTTAATTTGTATCTGTTAGTTTTTATCTCAACTGTTGTAACCTAAATAAAAGCATTTCCTCTTTGTATTGCTACTTTGATGTTCTTGATATAAGCGTCCAAAGTAAAGGGGAAAAGTGGTTCTTCTACCTGAAACATTCAGTATCAGATAGAAATCTTTTCAAAAACATTTCTAAAGAAAAAGCATACTTATTTTAACTTTCTCAAACAAACGATATAATAAATAAGATTTATGATAAAACGTTAGGTTATAAAATTTGATTTGTGGGTGTAAGTGTGAATGTGCGGGTGCGTATGGGTGTGGGTGCGGGTGTGAATTGTAGTCTGCTTTTCGTCCATACTCACGCATCCACACCCACACCCATTCTAATTACTTAGTCTTTAAATCAATCATTTTTTTATTGAAACATAAGTTAGTTCAAGCATTAAGTGGTTAATATGAAATCTAAATAGACTAATTATGAAGAAAATCAAACGTGTATTTACTGTTTCTTATCGCCTTTGATGGGGTGCTGGTGTAAGTGCAATTATGACTAAATAAGAATACACACCCACAACCTCCCAAAATAGGACACAGCTCGTTCAGGTCGAAATTATGTTCAACCAAAACTAATGAATTCCAGAGCCATATTTGGGAATGTAAAGACGGCGTTCTTCTCTGAGGTGCGAGGCTTGCGGAACTTAAGTCGCTTAAGTTAAGTGACTTCCAAATTCTAGAACTATAAATATAGATAGGGGTATTCTTTCCGGGTTGCGAGACTTACTGATTTTTCTTGGAAACGCAACCTTATGTATATGCATAGCTCTATATAGAATTCAGAAGTCCCAAGGGCATGCTTTGTTTGGCGTAATGAAATTTTTTTTCCCAAAATTCCGTTTGAAATCAAAAAGCTCATAGACTCATTTTGCATGTGCCTGAAGAGTCTTAGTTTTCTTTTATTGACGGTGTCTATGATGACTTTTTCTCTCGCTACTGTTTTTCGTATGTCTTCGTTTCTTATCATGTCTTTCCAGCTTACTCCTAATATTCTTTGGTAGCATTTCATCTCTAATATCAGAAGCTTCTTATCACTTTCCTTAAGGGTCCATGTTTCTGAGGTGTATAGGAGAACGCTAAAGACACATATTGTCAATATTCTGAGCTTATTCTGGATAGTTAATTTCTTATGGTCCCATACGTGTTTCAGGGATTCCATTGGACCTGCTACTTTACCTATTTGTCTTCTTATTTCCTCTGAACACTTTTTGTCCCAGGTTATTAGATTCTGCAGATATTCGAACTCAGCTCGTTCTCGATATTCTTGTCTCCGATCTGAACTTTTTTTGTATGTTCTTGTCACCGAAAATCATGGTTTCGGGTTTGCAACATTCATGATTAGTGCTATAACCACACCCACATTGCTGCCCAAGAGTATGCAGTTCTCAGAAAAAAAACTATCCCATTGGTGCCATTCTTCGAAAAGAGCAGGTATTTTGACAGGTTTCTCGAAGAAGATGCGCTTCCAAAGCTATCGGCATTCATATATCTACTATTGCACGTTCGTTTTAGATCATGTTTTATTAGAGACCTTATTTTCTAAGTGGTGTATTCTATTCCTCTTACTTAGCTCATAGTTAACGATAAAATACACCCACAATGGGCGTACACGAGTCAAAGAGAAAAAATGTAAAAAGTGCAACTAACAGTGAAGTGAATATACCAGCATCACTGAGAACTATGCAGCGGAGACAACTTATGCCTAGAGATTATTTAGTCATCTGGTTAAGTGAACACATTGACTTAATAAATGAAGATAACATAACTGAATTCAAGGAACTACAAAAGGTGGTCAGGAATTTATATACCTGCGCAAACTATGATACATGTTTTGATCGCATCATTGAACACGAGCATGAAAAAGTGATTTTTATTTTATCGGCTCCTATAGAAAAGGTAAGAGTGCGACAGATCCATGATATGCCACAGATTTATAGTATTTATATCTATCGCAAAACTATAACTTCATATGAAGGCTGGAAGACCGAATTCAGCAAGATTCAGGTTATAGGCACGGACATTAAATCCATCTGTGAAGCACTTCAGAAAACCATATGGCAACCAAATCAAAGCAGCACCTCAATAAGCTTCTTGACATCGTCTGATGATGGTTCCGAGCAAACTTTGGAAGATCTAGATCCTATATTTATGTATACTGAATTATTAAAAGAAATCATTCTTAATACGCAGTACAACACAAAAAATAGAAGGGATTTTATCGAATTTTTGCGTGCTGAGAATAGAACGGATGCTAATAGGCTTAAAATGATTGATATATTCGAAAAGAACGACCCTCCACGAAGCTCCATTTCGTGGTATACTTATGATATTCTGTTTTATGACTTAGCTAACTCTTCTCTCCGAAACTTTAACGTTGAAAAAATTATCAAAAGCAGTTTTTTTCTATCGAGCCTGCATAGACAATTAGAAGATTTACACAAGCAAAGAGTTAACCTTGGTCATGGAAAGTTTTATGTTTATCGAGGACAAATATTATCGAAAGATGATTTTAATAAACTACAGGAAGGTGCACTTATATCCTTCAATAGCTTTTTATCGACGAGTGAAGAAGAATCTGTCGCAAGCGGCTACGCTGAAAGTAATGCGAATGCACCGGAAAATGGTGTGGGTGTACTTTTTCGTATGCTAATAGATCCCAACATTCCGTCGACTCCATTTGCCCGTATTAAAAACATCAGCCAGTTTTATGATGAACAAGAAGTACTTTTCTCTATGCAAGCGGTCTTCCGAATTCGCAAAATACAAGAATACCCCAAGAACAGCGCAGTTCGTCAAGTTGATCTTGATCTTACGCCAGATAAAGATCCGCAACTTTGTAAACTCAAAAGCTTTATACGAGAAGAAATTGATGGTAAGACAGATTGGGACCGTTTGGGCAAACTACTAATTAAAATAGGTCAATATAGCGAAGCTGAAAAATGGTATACTACACAGCTAAAACAGATATCTAGTGATAGGAATGCAGTAGACGATATTGAATACTACCTCGGAATTGCGAAATTAGAACAAGGAGAGTACCAAGATGCAGCTTCATTTTTCAAAAAATCGTTGGAAATCACACGACATAGTTCGTCAAAAGGTCCTGCTTTGTTGGCTGGCATTCATAGCATGATCGGCAGCGCGTATAAAGGCATGGGCGACTACTTGAAAGCTCTTGAATCTTATGAAATAGCCTATGATATCTTCAAATTAAATCCGCACTGTAATGGACATCTATTTGGTTCTTTGTGCAATCAAATCGGTGCAGTTTACCATGACATGGGTCAGTACGTAGAAGCACTTAATTATTACGAAATAGCACGCGATACCTACAAAATAATTCTCCCATCCAATCATCCTATATTGGCTTCTACCTATAATAACATCGGTGAATTGTACAGATGTCTGGGTAACTACTCAAAAGCACTCGACTCTCACAAATTAGCTTTGGAAATTGACAAAAAATCTTTGCCTCACAATCATGTCGATTTGGCTACTTCCTTGAACAACATTGGTATAGTGTACGAAAAAATGAAAGACTACATGAATGCAATGTATTATCACACAAGCGCACGTGAAATCTTCGAAAAGCTAGATTACAAGCATCCAGGATTGGCCAATTCCTATCATAACATCGCTGAAGTATATCGCCAGTTGGGTAAATATTCAAATGCATTAGAATATTTTGAAAAGGGCTTGGAAATTTGTCAAAAAACACTCGATTCACACCATCCATCATTAGCTATTTCCTACCAATGCATTGGAGCAGTACATACGTCTATGAAAAACTATTCGACAGCACTTGAGTTTCTCGTAAAAGGACAAAAAACCTTGGAAAACTCTCAGCATGAAACTAACCCTGCTTTGGTCGATATCTACAAAACTATCGGCGCTGTTTATACGAACATGTGTGATTACTTGAAAGCATTAGAATATTTTCAAAAATCGCACGATATGCTGGTAACAGTGTTACCTTTGAACTATCCATCATTGGCCGACTTATACAGATGTTTTAGTTCAGTATATTATAAAATGAGTGACTACTCAAAGGCTCTGGAATATTGCGATAAAACACTTCAAATGGAAGAAATGATTTCGCCTCGAAATCGTTCCAGTGTGGGGCATACTTACTCATTTATGGGTAAAATATATCTAGAAATGAGTAATAGCAGGAAAGCAGCTGAGTTTTACAAAAAGGCATCTGATATCATTGGAGTATCTTTGCCTGTGACCATTCGCGATGAAAACGGGTCCTTCACCACTACTGGTATAACAATTAGTTGCATTGGCGGCGACTCTCACGTATCTGACTTACATGAGCACTTGCGAAACACGCTGCAGAATTTATACAACGAAAACCGTAAATCAGTAAATTCAAGAAATTAATAAATTCAATAAAAGATCGAACTATCTCTTAATGAAAAAAGGGCGTGGGTGTGGGTGCTATTATAGCTACATAAGAATAGGCACCGATGCCCACACCCACACCCACACCCAACACATACTATGTATATGTACGGGTGCGACATCACCCTAACAGATCCTCATGGGTCCTAGGATCTGCTTTTCGCCCCTTACTGTAGCACGTATGAAGTAAATACTAATATGTCAGATCTTTTATCAGATATGTAATTTCACAACCAGGAGTAAGAATGAGATGTTGATATCATTGTCATGATATATATGTGACAGAAGCCTGCAATAGATACAACGCACATTTTTGTTCTTGTCCTCTGAGTAAATGCTTTACATTTTTCTGCTATTTTAAAATATCTTTTTCTTCTTCGATATAAAGTCGTTATTTCAACAAAGAAATATTAATAATTCATTTCTGGTTTCTTTTTATTTGAGATCTAGAGAATAGTTCTTGTTGAAAGCATAACATTTGTTTCCCAAAAATACAATTTCAAAATGGGCAATTGTTTTCCTGGTGGTGAAGCGTCTTTAATAAGTTTAGTAGCTTTTGATTACGAAGTTGATGAAAACCAAGTGACTGTTGTCTCGCAAACTGGTGGCCTTGGCCAAGGGATATATCTAGTAACATTTCCTGGTATCACCACTCCTATCCGGTATGATCGCGTGGGCTCCGTTTATATGCGCCATTCCAGTGCACCTCCACTACCTCATGAAGTGTCGAATCAAGTCACACCAACCGGTAAACCATCGAATCATGCGGTCATTGCATATGCAGCAGCAGATAATCAGATTCCAGCTCAATCTATCACAATGATTAAGATGAATGAAGAAAGAGGCTCAGGAAGCTATCATTTGAATGTTAATGGCAATCGAATTGTTTACAAAAAAATGGGAACTGCTTTCATGAAAGCTGGTTCAATAATACCTGGCACCAATATTGTTGTTTAAATTTAGATGTTTTTGATTATAACTATGGTTGATTTATCTTTATTTTAGTTTATAAATATAAATATCTTATTTATAATTATCCTTGATCATAAAGGAATAATAAATATAAAGTAATATCTTCATAGAGGAATACATTATTTTCATGGTCCTGCTCTTAATGTGACCTCACCCTGTGATAGACATTATAAGGGTGTGGGTGTAGGTGTGTTTTCACAAAGAGATATACACACACACACACACACACCCAATAAAAAAAATGTGGCATTCTCATCGGATATCTCGATAACTCCAAAACTAAATATATTTTCCCAACACATTCACATAGAAACCGTCAACTTAGCGACCATATTCGAGCATTCGATGCATCGTATCCCTATTATCCTTATATGTTTTGTGTACTAGTAAGCCTCTTGACATATCTTCTGTTCAAATATATTATTCATTTTTCTTTCTCGTCCACCATTACCGATGTTGTATTGTATCTCTCTACTCAGACACGGCTGAGAATATCAGATGTTGTCTTATTAAAAAGCTTGGACAATCTTGTGTTAAATACGATTAACGCGAATAATTATCATGATCTTCTATTTATAGTGTACAACAAGTATTTAATCACGTTGATGATAGATTTGCAAGAAAACTCACAGAATATTCTTCGGCAATTTTATGACAAGACACCATTCGCTATTATCCCTATGGATATTATTAGTGACATTAGATGTAAATGCATTATACTTATAAATGATAGACATAGTCGATACATTCATTTTCCTGCATGCCTATACAAGAACTTTTGTAACCCATCAGATTGGCTACATCAATGCTTAATGGCACTTAATTATCCATATCGATATAAGTATGTTCGAGTTTTTAATGCTATGCTTCGCATCGCATTTCTGTAGTTCGTCGCGAGTTTTTCTTTTCTTTTACTTTTTCGACGTACGCATCACATCTCGTCGTTTTGTTGTGCAATGATCTCGAGAACCGAAAATCATAGAAAAGTCATTGAAACGGGAGATGGAAGTATCAAGATGGAACCTTGAACATCTGTTTTCGAAACTTCAATCTGAAGTTCCATTCAGTCACAAATGTCGTTCCAAAATGACGATAATGAAAGAAATTTGTGCTTTCTTATAGCTACTGAATGAATTCTATAGCTACTTAATGAATCGCATAGCTATTGAATGAATATTATAGCTACTTAATGAAACGTATAGCTACTGAATGAATATCATTATATTGTTTTTAAGGCAAAATTCAAACAAAACATTTTGTATTCACAACGTGAATGTATATAGAATTCATGAGAATAATCAAATATTTATGATACCAACATTATTAATGATATAAAGGAGCACGGAGACTGAAAAAGGATGCACTAGCGAGAAAGTGAAATATGTAAGTGTTCATGTTTAGTTGACGATGAAATAATCGAAATACTTGAAATTTGAATTTCTATCATATTTCGGATTACTTTCAAATGTTCATGAGTTGATGTTGTTTTTATTATTATTAAGATTCATCATACTGTTTCTCAGATAAATTCAAGTAAAACAATTTGTATTCATAATGTGAATCTGTATTTGATTCATTAGAATATTCAAATACTTATGATATTGGAGGTATTTATGATATAAAAGAGGAAGGGATCCGTAATAGGATTTTTTGGAAAAAGATATGAAATCATATTAATAAGGTTTGTCTCTTCTTTGTAATATGGCTGAGATGCTTTTCTTTAAATTGATGTATAATCTTTGAAGAGGTACATGGACTTTCAATAAACGCGTGATCTTTTAATAATTATAGTAAAGTTGGAAGCAGCTATACAATAATCAAGTAGCTATGAATTCATTAAATAGCTATAAGAAATCATTAAGTAGTTATAGGAAACCAATAAGTAGCTATGGGTATTTTTTAAAAAGTATCTCTTTTGAGAAGCTACGAAATTATGATCAATTAGAAAATAGTTTGCTAAATATAACTCATAGAAAAACTCTATTATTCCAATCTCAACTAAATTTTCATGTCAACTGTAACATATACATTTCGACGCCATGAGTTATTCAATGAAATAAAAGAGTTATCATCGTAGTTTATATTACATTGACTAGTCTTATCTGGATTAAATTTTTGAAATATAAGTATTTTATTTATATTTATTAAAGGTTAATAAAGATAAATTAATATTTCTATTACCTTACGAGTACATCATGAAGCAAATAATTATTTTTTTTTGAATAATAGAATACTAGCGCAACTAACTATTTTTTCCAAGCGAACGAACGACAAAGTATCTTATTTTAGAAGCATCTGTTCTTTTCTTTCAGCTTTATTCGTGTTTGTAAATTATTCGTTTCTCTTGATTAACTCTTTCCCGTTTTTCTTTTTCCTCTCTCCTATGTCTATACTCTAACGAAAAAAAAAATATGTTGATATGTCAATACCATTTAGCTAGCATGGTACTAAGGAAGGAAGGAAGCAAGAAAAATATGTTTAGAGTCATAAAAAATAACATTAATTAGATCACCGACTCGTATCAAGGCTATATTTTGGTCGTATTAATCGTCGTTTTCTGCATGCCATTATCAAGTACAGTTCACTATTACATATTCTATTCGCTGATGTTCTAGCAATACGAGGTAAATTCATGCATAGATAATCAGTAGACCCAAAACTTGTTACTTTTCATTGTAACGAACGTAGTAATACAAAGTGTGTAATAATATCTCTTTCGCATTTCTCACTGAACAGATAAGTAGTAATAAAGTTTATGTTTATTGAAAAAAAAAAGACGTTTTATCAAACTATCTATCGTAGTCAATGCAAAAGATCGTCTTCTCTTAATTTCATTGACTTTAAGAGTTATCTTTTTATAATATTTTCTTGGTACTCTATACCATTTTCGATAGGGCGTTCTCGAAGATAAGACAAGTTGGTTGAATCCGAGTTCTAAAATAAATTAAAATAGTCTCATTTGAAAGAGTACATGAAAATATAACGAATGCTGTTTTCAGACATATGTAGTGTCCAATATTTGTATAGAAAACATTTTCATTTTTATCATATCATTACTATAAGTTATCCTTAGTGGATTACACATATATGCAAGGGTAAAAAGGCGACTCCTGGTGGATTCTAGAATTCACTAAAAATCCATTTTGATTAGTGAGTTTACCTCAATATTTTAAACAGTTTGCAGTTGCTAAGGAGAACAGCGAGACTCATATACGTAGGATCTATGATTTTCATCGTGTTTTGAAAAAATTACGAAAGTGACCATTCATTTTTTCAAAGATCTAAATGGTCTATATATCGTTTCTTGTATCTAAATGCTT